TGCTACAATAACTATTATAATAACTATTTATTATTTAAGAGTTACTATAATAACTATTCAATACTAAAAACTAAGAATAAAACCAGAGTTTTTCCTTTTTATATTATCCCTAAAAAGTAAACCAAGTGTTGAGGTGGAAAGTTAAATACCAAAAGTCTAAAGCAGTAATAATCCTTATCCAGACAGCAAAAGTTGTAGGTACATGTAAAGAGCAAAATGTCTATTTAGCAAAGACTTGGACCCACAACATGAACAAGCGTACTTCATTCTCTGTGGAAATTAGATAAAGTATGAGTGGAATGTTCTAGCCAATGCTCCAATTACTCACATGAGGATATTCACAGGAAACGTGTGGCTTGATTGAAATGTGATTTGAGAGAAAAACAAGAGCCTGGACACATTTTTCTAGTTAGCAGATTCACAAAGGTCTTAGAAGTTGTTCTTTACTAACATTCAGAATTGACTTCATTTTGTGGCCCATGGTTTTTATGCCCCTTTTTCTTCCAGATATAGATGTGTATATATATATATATACACACATATATATATATATTTCAAAGAGACTAAAAAACAATAACAAAATAACGACAACATAGACAAAAAGAAAACAAAGCAAAAACAATAACAATGATACAGGGCTTCAAAATAAAGTGATAGGAATTAATAGTGGCTGTTATATTACACATTGTTATCTTCAACGAAGTTGCTCAGATTACCAGATGTAAGAATGCAAGATGATCAAACAATAAAAAAGAATGAAAATAATTAAAAAAACATTAGAAATGAAACAGAGCTTCACTAAGAGTAAATAAAACCCAAAACATACAATAGATATTATGAAAGGGAAAGATATTGCTCAAAAGAAGGAACAACTGGGATGAGGGAAAGGAGAAAAAGAAGGAAGTAAATATCTACCTATATATCTGTATATCTATGAGGGAAAAGAGAAAGAAGGAGAAATATGTATATATGTATACACAGGACAGCTAACATAGATGTACTATTTTATTGCTCTGTTTAAAGGAACAGTTAATGTTTAAGTGTTTGATCAATCTTACATGTCTATATTTGTTTATCTGAGTAACCAATTTGAAGATATCAATATGTAATACAACAATCATTGTTAATTTCCTATCACCTTGTCTGAAATTTTGTATTATTTATATTGTTTTTGTGTTATTTTCTAAATGTATGTGTGTTTGTTAATATGTTTTTGTTATCTTTAAAATAAAAAATATGTAGAATGATAGCTGAGATAATTGTACTGATGATGTCTAATGGTTTACTGAAAGGAACAGTTAATGCTTAATTTTTTTGACCAATTTTGCATGCTTATATCTGGTAATCTGAACAACTAATCTTCCAGTTATATTACGGGCTACTTTTTCTTTTTTGGTACCAGAAATCGAGCTCATGACCTCATGCCTTGTGCTGTGCCGCTGAGCTACTTTATAATTACTTTAGAAATTCTGGTAATAGTCCCTGTATTTCTCTCTTATCACTGTCCTGGAAAAGTGGGAAAAATAATGGTTTTCTTTCTACAGTATTTTTTTTTCACTGAAGTAAAATAACCAGCATTAGTTTCATACTACTTTCTACTTAAAAATCACTTTCAATTTTTTTGTCATATGATCCTTACATCAGTTCCATGAAATAAATATTATTATAAATAATAAGGTTCTAGTGATCAGTCTGTGCCGTTAAACTGGGGAAGAAGCAGAAATAGGCTCAGAAATCAAGTTTTCAATCTGAAAGTGCCCACTGATTATTATATCTTGAATCTCCCCAAAACACTGAAGTGTTTTAAATCTTGCAGTTTGTGTTACGTTTTTGCTGGTCAGGAGATTTCTTAATTTGCAATTAGTGAGTTCACAATTAGGAGATTTCACAGTAAATTTCATACTTAATTGAAATATTTACCTGTTTAAATACTATTTTCTGTGTGTTACATAATAAACATTTTAACTGAAGAAATTCCCATAAATGATAAATAAAATTATCTCTGGAAGACATGATCTTGCCTGAATACGTACTGTCACCTTTACGTATGGGAAAACTGAAACCCAGGAAAACGAAGACTTGTTTAAATCACTGATTTTGTGAATAGGATTACCACTGAGCTTGCATCTTGACAGCTGTTTCACTGTGTTTTCCATTGCGCTGCACTGTCTCTAGAAACTTAACTACAAAACCATCAAATCTGAGACCTGGAAAGGACCCTGGAGGTTGCGCTTCAATCTCTCTCTTTATGAAGGAGGAAATACAGATCCAGAAGACTAAATTGTTTCTGCAAAGTTGTCCTGTGCGTGTTAATAGGAAGTTAGACTGTGCCGGCCTCAGGTTTCAGCTGAGTTACCATAAAGAACACATCAGGTAACAGAATGGGGCAGACAACCCAGTCCTGTGCTCTGGCTTTCAAAGGAAATGGAATAAGAATATGGTGCTTGTATTCCTCTGCTGATTAAAGACATAAAACAATGTAGTAGAGACAGTGTGAAAAAAGAGATTAGTAAAGAAGTTCTTTGGAGAGTGCCCTTTGACATGAATGCTCCCAACCCCAAGGAGGCTATTTTGAGAGTGGCTAACTTCTTTTTTTTTTAAATGTATTGTAAAAATACATTAAGCTAAAGCAAGTATTTATTTATAAAGTAAAAATAAGTATTTATTCAAACAATTAGAGATACATTCTTATTAAAAATGGTTAATTTTGAGTTACTCAATTTTTTTAACTGGGAATCAAACTCAGGGCCTCATGCTTACCAGTCAGGCGCTGTACTGCTAAGCTACATCCCTGGCCCAAAACATGATTAATTTTGAAAAATGACAGCCTGACACTAAGCAAGGAGATCCCTGAGAATGCACATGACATACCTCATCCTTATCTTACTGGCAGAGTCACAGTGGTACACTGGGATTGCTCAAACTTCCTTATTTCTTTTAATTTTTTAAATTTTTTAAATTTTATTTTAAAAATGAAAGAAAACATTAACAAGCAGACATCCATTTACAAATTAGCATTAAGAACAATACAAGCAATACTGGATTACAGACAAAGTGGTAGGAAATGTACAAGTGGTAGGAATGTTGTATTACATATAGATATCTTCTAAGAGATTTCTGAGGAAAAAAAAATAGAGACATGCAAGATTGATCAAATAAATAATCATTAACTGTTCCTTTCAGTAAAGTGATAGAAGT